TTTTCTTTCTCTCTTTCTACGTTGTATTTTTAGGTCGCGGTGGATGCGATAGATATCCCATGGTTATTCCACGTCACCTGCCTTATAGCTGAAGTTCAGGCAGGTGCACCGCTTACAAAACAGGTGTTCTTGCGTCATGTACCGAATATAAATGCACCTTTGCAGTGTTTTTCTTTTCTTTTCTTTTTCTGTGGGTGTTGAGTTAATGCGCTTTGTTGTTTGATGCTGGAGGATTATTCGTGTTTGATCAGGGAATTTACTTGCCATACCTAGCTTGACCTGCTTAAGGTTGACAAGGTTAACTGCAACTACTTGTGGCACGGTAGTGGGGGGTGTGGGTGGGGCTCGCGTAGGGGGTGGGTGGGGAAGTTGGGGGTGTTGAGCATCTCCTTGAGAAGAGACACTCGAATCATCATTTGAGATTTCTCTCTCTCTCTCTCTCTCTCTCTCTCTCTCTCCCTCTCCCTCTCTCTCTCCCTCTCCCTCTCCCTCTCCCTCTCCCTCTCCCTCTCTCTCTCTCTCTCTCTCTCCCTCCCTCCCTCCCTCCCTCCCTTCCTCTCTCTCTCTCTCTCTCTCTCTCTCTCTCTCTCTCTCTCTCTCTCTCTCTCTCTCTCTCTCTCTCTCTATATATATATATATATATATATATATATATATCTTTGTACGCCTATATGTTTATATCCCTACTTATATCCGTCCATTTATCTACGTACCTACCTACCTTCTACTTACCTACCTACCTTCCTACCTACCTGTGTGTGTGTTTGAGATAGTATGTGTGTATATCAAATAAAAAATAGCTCTTACATTTGAAGCCTCCTCTCCTATGTTCAAAACCCCATTAAGGTGTAAGCCTCGTATCTCAAGCAGATTTTCATGAGGAGGACAAAGGTCTATGCTGACTCGTCCTTCGCTCATGTTTTACAACAATCGTTATGGTGCCACGTCGTGTTTATGTTTTTTTTTTTTTTTTTTTTTTTTTTTTTTTTTTTTTTAATATCACGAGCGCTGTACTGTTTGTTTGATTTTTCTCTTCTTTTTATGAGCTGCAGAGAAAAATACCGTAATTTTGTCTTAAAAGTTCGGTCGTGGTTTATACCTGTGCGTGCGCTGTCCATCGCTTGCTTGGCGTTACGTGTTTAACCTTAGGGCTTAGGCGTGGTTCTCTTAGCCAGGCATGACAGGGACGATAAATACCGCCACGAAGGTAACTCCCGTGGTCTTGGGGGAGGGAACGAATACCTAAATGATGTCTAGAGAGAGAGAGAGAGATAAAAAAAAAAATAGAAAGGAAAACTAAATCACTTTTCTCAGTAAGAGAGACAGACAGACAGGGCAAAATAGAGAGTGAGTGAGTGAGTGTGAGAGTTTCTACGCTGTTAGAATACTCGTCAGATTAAAACGCAGTCGGATACATGTTCGACTACCTATCTGCTACAGATGTGTACTGCCGCCAGGACGTACTCCTCGATGTGAAACTCTGAATCCGGTAACCACGCGTGTCCACAATCGACAAAGCGGACTCGACTGCATTTAGTTCAGTCGGCGCACGTGATGTCAATATCAAAATAATATCCCATGGTTGAGCAAGTCTTGAGAATGTTGATTAAAATGTGCCTGCAGTTGAGTGCCTTGAAGCATTAAAGACAAGTGAGATGTAGAAATTTGTTTGCCGGTGGCGTTTACAGTACAGAGTGATTTTGTATTTGTATTGATGAAGGTTGTGCTGACGGTGTTCCGTCTTCGCTTGTTAGGGAATGGAAGCGCTGTTGGGATCACCTATTGTTTTGAGGTGTCTTTTATAAACATGTTTTTGTTGCTGGCGGTTTTGTTATTATTAATGTTATTACCATTATTGTTATTGTTATTACCATTATTGTTGTTATTATTACCATTATTGTTGTTATTCTCATTATTGTAATTGTTATTGTTATTATTATTATTATCATTATTATTTTTATCATTATTATTATTATCATTATTATCTTTATCATTATTAATATTATTATTATTATTATTATTATTACTATTATTATCAACAATATTTTAAATTTTGTTGTTTTGTTGTTGGTATCCTTTATTTATCATCATTAACTATTGTTACAAAATACAGCAAGTACTACTACTACTACTACTACGGTTGTGTCTAATACTATTGTTACAATTACTAATATTATAAATGCCGTTGTTATAGAAACAAAATCTATGACCATAGTGATAGTAAAGATGATATTAATACTGGTTATAATCAAATATTAATAATGATGATTTTCCAGTCTCACCTTTATCCTTATCACTTGCATCATCGCTTATATTAGTATCGTTTTATTAATAAGGGTACCATATCTGGTGTAGGAATTAAGCCTGGATTTAATTTTGATTAATCGACTCGCGCAGTAGAATGTCGATAACCAGATAAGAAAGCACGGGAAGCATAACACGAGAAACAAAGCTCGTCTGGGGTGAAAGGAAGTGCGAGCGAACATGATTTCACTGAAGTAGGCCTATTCAAGTTTAGAACGAAAGAGGAGTTGAAAAGTATGATGACAGTTCATGAAAGGATAGGAGAAAAAAAGGGGAAGAAA